ATGGCAAGGCAGTTATGAAAATCTTGTAAATATAGCGTACACTTAAACTGAATTCATTTTTTTTCTTAGGTGGCTAAAGACCGATTAACAGAGGCAGCATTTCTTCAGTGCAGTTTCATTTTATGTGCATGACGTGGCAGTTTTCTACCCAGAGATTATTATGAACAATTGATGTGATTCAGTCTATACTGATTTCTCAGCAAATATTTATTGTAATTTCAGTCACCTGTGGCTTTAATGTTAATTGCTGCTATTGTTTATGCTTTAAAGTCTGTTGTGCAAGATTAATTAATATGAAACTACCTTTTCCTCTCACACAGCTCTCTGCCCACCTCCCTTCTGGGCCACTGAGGTTCCTGCAAATAATTCACAAAATGCCGTGAACACTTCAGTACCAGAGGTCAATGAACTTTCAACACCTCAGCCATTCAACAGGACACATTCGCCTACACCAACAACATGGATGTCAACAACTCAACCTATAGAGACAAATGCAATTATTTCAACTGGTGTGACCACACCTAGCTCCCAGGGTAACACGCAAACCACAGGAACTACAGTAATGGCAAATGTAACAGGAGAAACATCAGAACTGATGGAGGAAGTAAATGCAGCTTCAACAGGGGAAAGTCTAAGTCAAAATACAGCTGCTGCCACTATAAGCAATTCTGTTTCTCACACTACTTTTTTGGCTGCTCTTCATCAACCTGGCCAAACCAGTCTGTCACCTGATGTGACCACAAGCCAATCATCTTCAGGATCAACAGCTGAAAGCCCAAGCATTTCTCAGATGGATGGAGATACGAATTCATCTTCTGTTATGTCTGATGCTTCCACAGTGGTGCATAATGTGTCAGGACTGATGCATTCCTCAGCAGAAACAGTGACAGCAGCACAAATTCATACTGACTCCACACAGTTTTCTTCAGCCTCAGCTACAGCTCAGTCCAGCAATGCTCTGACAATGCCAGAGTCGAGCTCACCTTTACCAAACTTAACTGGGACGGATCCAGTAGTATCCAATGATATCCTTTCAGCATCAGTGCATGAAACTCCCAAATCTACAACCCTGGAAAATGCACACATTATTAACACGCCCACAAATATATTTGTTAGTGCCACTGCAGCCACACCCGAGGCCTCCGACATCACAGATCACAGCACACCAACCAGCATTCCACAGTTATCGCAAACTGATCCTATGTTAACATCTACACGCACATTCCAGGCCAAGACAGAGACAGAGGAGCCAAATTTAACTTCAGACAACATGTCTGCGGCGGTCACATCTGAAACAGCAGTAACTTCTGCATCCACTACGCTGAGGACAGCCACAAGTACAGACAATGTTAACACCAACTCAACCTTGAACCTCAGAACAACACTAGAAGCAAGTTTCCTTGAACATAACACATTATCTACCTCAACAAGGAGCAGCACATCGGCTCATCAATATATACCATCTCCTGGAGGTGGAAATTCCTCTTCCACACATCAAACATCTGGCTACAATCAAGTTAATGCCACTCAAGGGCAGAATTCAGAATCCCTTCAAACCACGAAGAAACAGACCACAGAATCCATTGCAATTCAGACTTCACAATTTACAGCTCCAGGATCAACTGCTGCAACGACTGACAAGAATTTATCTACAAATAATGATACATCAGCCCCAAATCAAGGTACTACCGCTATGACAATGGTATCCACAGCACCACCAACTTCAACAGCAACAGAGGCTACACCAGATAATACCACAACACAAACCCAAACATCTCTGGAGACAGAAACCACTAAAACTTCAACACAACCTACAACCCCTGAAGCAACACAAAGCACAACAGTTGTAGCTAACACATCACCAATACAAAATACTGTATCCATGACAACAATATCTGTTCAAACACCAGCACAAACAACGCCAACTGTGGAAGATCAAACAACTATCACATTGTTATCACAGATCACTGAATCCGCACCATCCGTATCTACTACAACACCACCACAAGCAGCCCCAACCACCACAATGCACTCCATGACAATAACAGACAGAGCATCTTTGATTGAGTCAAATAATGAGATAACAGAAACCACAGCTGCAACACCAACTCAAGCCGCTACAGAGTCCATTTCAACACTAACACAAAATGTGGTATCTTTAATTACAGACCCACCCACAACGTCATCAGTAGCAACAGCAGCAGCCACAACACCACCTCACACTGTCCTATCTCCGGCAAGCTACACTACAACACCAACGCAAACTGGAGCATCCCTGGCAACAGCATCTATACCAATGCAATCTGTGGCATTTACATCTGTGACAACACAACCAACTCCACCACAAACTACAGCGTCTGCCACATCAGCATTGATCACGTCACTGACACATATTCCAGCATCTGAAACAACAGCGTCACCTGTAGCAACGAGACAAATTACTGCATTCACAAGAGTTCATACAGAAATACCAGCCTCGAATACAGCATTGGTGGCAACAACTACAAGTAATGCCATAGTGCCAGCTGAGATGACTTCACCATTAGTCAGAGAATCAACCACAACACCATTACAAATGGCACAGTTGGTTGAAACACAAAGAACATCCACTGTTACAAACACAGCTGTCTCAACACAAAGTACACTACCTGTGACAACAGGATTAACCACCATACCAACAGAAAATAGAGGAACAGGAACATTAACACAACTCAACAACAACTCAACAGTAGCACCACCAACAGCAGTGCACAGTGCTGGACAAACAGCAGTTAACAGCACAACACCAACACAACGTGAATCAGTAACAACAACACAAAGTACACCACCTGTAGAGACAGATTCCACAACTACACCAGCACAATCTATTCCAATCACAGTAGAATCAACACCAACACAGCCGAGCACATCCATTGTTTCAACATTGCAAAGACCAACACAAAGTACAGTTGTAACTACACAATCAGCAACGTCAGCAGAGGCTGCACCATCTGTAACAACTACATCAGTGACTTCACAAACATCAACATCAGCATCATTAACAACAGAACAACCCACAGCAATGACTACAACAATACAAACCACACCATCTATGCCAACAACATTCACAACACAAACTCTATCCACAGCTGCATCGACGCAGTCTGTTCCCCCCACAGTAGAATCAGCAACTACATTTACACAAACTACACCATCTGTGGTTTCACTGACACAAAGACCAACACAAATTACAGCTGTAACCACACAAACTACATCTGTAACAACAGAATCCACCACATCACAAACATCAACATCAGCATTATTAACAACAGAACAACCCACAGCAATGACTACAACAATACAAACTACGCCATCAGTGGAAACAACATTCACAACACACACTGATTCCACAACAACACAGACACAATCTATTCTACCCACAGTGGAATCATCTACAACACCAACACAAAGTACAACATCTGTGGTTCCATCAACACAAGGACCAACACAAACCACAGTTGTAACCACACGATCAGCACAAAGTACAGTGACTGTAACAACAGAATCTGCCACATCACAAACATCAACATCAGCATCATTAACAACAGAACAACCCACAACTGCAATGCACACTGCTGAACCAAGAGCAATTCACAGCACATCAACACCTAGTGGATCAATAACTACAATGACAACAACTACGCCATCAGTGGCAACAGCATTTACAACACCAAGTGTTTCCACAACCGCAACAACACAATCTATTCCACTCACCACAGAGTCATTAACGCCAACGCAAATTACAGTTGTACGCACACAATCAGCAACTTCAACAAATGCTGTGCCACCTGTAACAACTACATCAGTGACTTCACAAACAACATCAGCATCATTAACAACAGAACAACCCACAGCAATGACTACAACAATACAAACCACACCATCTATGCCAACAACATTCACAACACAAACTCTATCCACAGCTGCATCGACACAGTCTGTTCCACTCACAACACATTCAGCAGTGACATCAACACAAACTACACCATCTGTGGTTTCACTGACACAAAGACCTACGCAAATGATAGCTGTAACCACACAATCAGCACAAACTACAACACCTGTGACAACAGAACCAGACACATCACAAACATCAACATCAGCATCATTAACAACAGAACAACCCACAGCAATTACATCAACAATACAAACTACACCATCTGTGGAAGCAACATTGACAACACAAACTAGAGGATCTGTGGAAACAGTGTCCACAACAACACCAACACAATCGTCTTCACTCACAATAGAACCATCAACAACACCAACACAAGTTACAGCTGTAACTACACAATCAGCAACTTCAGCAGAGGCTGTACCATCTGTAACAACAGAATCAGCCACATCACAAACATCAACATCAGCATCATTAACAACAGAACAACCCACAACTGCAATGCACACTGCTGAACCAACAGTAATTCACAGCACATCAACACCTAGTGGATCAATAACTACAATGACAACAACTACGCCATCAGTGGCAACAGCATTTACAACACCAAGTGTTTCCACAACCGCAACAACACAATCTATTCCACTCACCACAGAGTCATTAACGCCAACGCAAATTACAGTTGTACGCACACAATCAGCAACTTCAACAAATGCTGTGCCACCTGTAACAACTACATCAGTGACTTCACAAACAACATCAGCATCATTAACAACAGAACAACCCACAGCAATGACTACAACAATACAAACCACACCATCTATGCCAACAACATCCACAACACAAACTCCTTCCACAGCTGCACCGACACAGTCTGTTCCCCCCACAGTTGAATCAGCAACTACATTTACACAAACTACACCATCTGTGGTTTCACTGACACAAAGACCTACGCAAATGATAGCTGTAACCACACAATCAGCACAAAGTACAACACCTGTGACAACAGAATCAGCCACATCACAAACATCAACATCAGTATCATTAACAACAGAACAACCCACAACTGCAATGCACACTGCTGAACCAACAGCGATTCACAACATATCAACACAAAGTGGATCAGTAACAACAACACAAAATACACCATCAGTGGCAACAGAATTCACAACACACACTGTGTCCACAGCTGCACTGACACAATCTATTCCACTCACAATAGAATCAGCAACAATGGCAACACAAACCACCTCGTCCGCGGTTTCACCAACACAAAGACAAACACAAATTACAGTTGTAACCTCTCAAACGGCACAAAGTACAGCATCTGTAACAACAGAATCAGCCACATTACAAAGACCAACTTTATCATCAACGACAGAACAACCCACAACTGTAAGACATACTGATGAACCAAGAGCAATTCATAGTGGATCATTCACAACACAAACTGATTCCACAACAACACAGACACAATCTATTCTACCCACAGTAGAATCATCAACACCAACACAAAGTACAACATCTGTGGTTTCACCAACACAAAGACCAACACAGACCACAGTTGTAACCACACAATCAACAACTTCAACAGAATCTACCCCATCTGTAACAACTACATCAATGGCTTCACAAACGTCAGTGTCATTAACAACAGAACAACCCACAGCAATGACTACAACAATACAAACTACACCATCTGTGGGAACAGCATTTACAACAACAACACAATCTATTCCATCCACAATAGAATCATCAACAACAGAACAACCTACAACTGAAAGACATACTAATGAACCAACAGCAATGCACAACACATCAACGCATAGTGGATCAGTAACTACAACAACACAAACTACACCACCTTTGCCAACAGCATTCACAACACAAACTGTTTCCACAGCTCCTCCATCACAATCTATTCCACTCACCACAGAGTCTACAACACCATCACAAATTACAGTTGTACGCACACAATCAGCAACTTCAACAAATGCTGTGCCACCTGTAACAACTACATCAGTGACTTCACAAACAACATCAGCATCATTAACAACAGAACAACCCACAGCAATGACTACAACAATACAAACCACACCATCTATGCCAACAACAT